GGGGCACAGATTTTCAGAGATTTCCTCTTGATGGATTTTTCCTGTGATGACTATGAAATGCCCTTCTTTGTCTTTTTTTATTTTAGTTTGGAGTCCATTTTGTTAGTTATTAGGATAGCTACACCAGCTTGTTTCTTAGGACCATTTGATTGGAAAAGTGTTTCCCAACCATTTGAGGTAATGTCTGTCTGTGAGTTTGAGGTATGTTTCGTGTAGCAGCAGAAGGATGGATTCTGTTTTCAAATCCAATCTGTTAGTCTATGTCTTTTTATAGGTGAATTGAGACCATTTATATTAATGACCAGTGATTGCTAGTTCCTGTTATTTTTATTGTTGGCAATGGTATTATGTGTTCAATTCCCTTCTTTGGGGTTTGCTGCTGTAAGCTCATCTATTTCCTGTGTTCTTGTGGATGTTGGTGATTTCCTTGGGTTGGTATTTTCCTTCTAGTACTTGCTGTAGGGCTGGATTTGTGGTTTGGTATTGTTTAAATTTGGCTTTATCATGGAATGTCTTGCTTTCTCCATCTATGGTTATTGAAAGCTTTGCTGGGTAAAGTAGTCTGGGTTGGCATCTGTGGTCCCTTAGTGTCTGCATAACCTCTGGCCAGGACCTTCTGGCTTTCATTGTTTCCTTTAAGTCAGGTGTAATTCTGATAGGTCTGCCTTTGTATATTACCTGAACCTTTCTCCTTTGTGGCTCTTAATATTCTTTATTCTGTATGTTTATTGTTTTATTATGTGATGAGGGGACTTTTTTGTTTAGTCTATTTGGTGTTCTGTAAGCCTCTTGTATTTTCATAACATGTCTTTAGGTTAGGAAAGTTTTCCTCTATGATTTTGTGAATATATTTTCTGTGCCTTTGAGTTGGACTTCTTCTATCCCTATTATTCTTAGGCTAGATCTTATCATGGTGTCCCAGATTTACTGAATGTTTTGTGGTAAGGATTTGTTGGATTTAAATTTTTCTTTGACCAATTAATCTATTTCCTCCAAGTTATCTTCAATGCCTGAAGTTTTCTCTTCCATCTCTTGTATTCTGATGTTTATGCATTTGTGGTTCCTGATCGTTTACCCAGATTTTCCATTTCCAGAAGTTCCTTGGTTCTGTTTTCTTTATTGCCTCTATTTCAGATTTCCTCTGTAAGGGCCTCAATTGTCCTCACAGTTATTTTTTAAGTCATTTTCTTCTACTTCATCTGTGTTGGGATGTTCAGGTCTCTCAGCTCCTTTGCTAGCACCATGTCTGCCTGAACACCATCATGTTGCATCATAATGATAATGGACTAAACCTCTGAAAATATAAACCATCCTACTTAAATGTTTTTCCTTTACAAGAGTTGCCATGGAGGCCCAGAGCCTTATTGCTCTTTATGTTAAGTGTGTTCTTACCTTGTTGTCTATACATCTCTTCCTCTAGTAGGTACAGGTGGAGTTTGTTCTTCAGGGGTTCTCGCTTTTTCCAATCAGTATAGTTGGGGGTTGTGGTTCCCTTGACCGCTCCTTCAGGCACAAGTAGAGAAGAACTTGTGGTGAATGCTCCTCTTCTGATGCTGCTCCAAGGTCTGAGGCTTGTGGTTTCCTTGACACTGTTCCAGGCTGGGATTTGAGCCTCTCACTGAAGCTGTTCAGGGCCTGTAGCTTGAACCTACCTCTGATGCTACTCCTAGGTCTAAGGCTCATGGCTCCCTTGATACTGCTGTGGGCCTTCATGGCAACTCTTTATAGGAAAAACATTTAACTAGGATGGCTTACATTTTCAGAGGTTTAGTCCATTATCATTATGATGCAACATGATGGCATTCAGGCAGACATGGTGCTAGAGAAGGAACTGAGAGTCCTGTATCTTGACCCACAAGCAATAGGAAGTGGTCTGAGTATCACACTGAGCAAAGCTTGAGCAAAGGAGACCTCAAAGCCCACACCCACAGTGACACACTTCCTACAACAAGACCACACCTACTCCAACAAAGCCATAACCTCCTAATAATGCCACTCCCTATGAGCTTATTGGGGCCAACTACATTCAAACTACCACAGATTGGAAAGTCAAGGGCTCAAACCCACTTCACCTCCAGCATTAAGATGCAATCTACTGTCAGTAGATATTAGTGTGCATTTTTGTCTAGACAGTTGTAAACCTGATGCCTCTTTTTGCAGAGCACTAGAGCTTTGCTGTAGAGACGTTGGGAGAGAGTATCATCCCATTAAACCATGGTCACCCCAATTAAGCCAGGTCATCTGGTGTCCACCCAAAGGTCCTGACTTGATTTAAGGGTTATTCACTGTAGACAGGAATCAAAGCAGGACTTGTGTTTCCATAACAAGACTCTGTTTTCTTAAGGGGCCAGATCAGCTTCAGGCTCCTCCTTCCTTCTCCTTGTGCTGTGTTTTTATTCAACAATATCTTACTCTTACAGTTATCTGGATCATTTTAGGGGAAATTGGAAGTATTCATTTTATCTAATCATTGAAGAGAGGGAGGTCAGAGTGGCTCTGCCTGCTATGTTTCTGGTTTTGGAAGACCCACTGGTAGGTATGTCAGCTTTAGTCAGTTCCTTGATGTCTTCATCTTATTTACAGTCCTATCTATGGTCATAATTTCCACAATATTTTTAAGTCAGAAACAAACTCACTCATTACAGTGAGATGTGTTAGTGTCACACTAGGACCTTGGCGGCAGCTCTGGCTTTCTGTATTGACAGGTCTCAGTCTTCTTGTACAGAACCCTCAGATAGCAGGACATAGGTGATACTGTACACTATGTATAAGCTGATAGCAGGGTGATGGTCAAGGCAAAAGGGTTACATTTTGATTTTGGCATGTTTGCTTTCAAAGCTGAGAGGGAGGGAGGGAAGGAGGGAGGGAAGGAACAATGTGCTATTGCTGGAACACAGGTGAGAAGCAGAGGTCCAGGACCCCATGGGACAGGCAGAGTGGGACTTTTCTCCAGGACCTCGGGGGAAAGAAATAATATTTGAATTTTGTTGAAAATACAAACTAAAGAAAAATGTACCAGTATTAGACCCCTGGAGTTCTTTCTTAGCTCCTACAGGGGAGGTTACATTTTACATAAGGCCACACTTCATACACAACCATCTAGACTAGACCATGTCTAGCCGTTTGGAGTTTTATCACAGGAATGAACATACCATTTGTCCTCAAAACAGTCATCTGAGAACATAATGAATAAAAAGACTATGAACATAAATTGAGAATATCTCAGGCAAGCCATAATTATCTTCTAAGTTTCCATGATAAATCCAAATGCATTGAGACAGACTGTAACATACACCTTGCCTTTTCTTTCATACCAATAAAACCCTAGTGTTATTTTTATTGCAGAGACTAGTTAGTCATATTTAGCAGCAAAATTAGTATTGCTTTGTAAGGAATGATTTCATGACCTGAGTTTCTTCAGGTTGAGTGTATGCTTTTGTTTTTTCATTACACATGGATATTGTGCTCATGGTTTTCTGTTCTGTGATGAGAAATGGAGCTTGGTTTGTGTGTGGCCTTCGTTACCCAAGGCTTGATGCTCAGGTGAAATCGCTGTCAGTCATAGCTGTTAAAAGGCAGTTCTTATTCATGTGTCAGTCTTTGTACCAACCCTGAGGGAGGGCTGTTCTCTCCGCACATGCCCAAAAGCTCAATGCCTGAGTGTGCACAGCCAGTATGGTCCTTACACCTATCTAGGCTTAGGTTTGTCTATATTCTAGAGCTTTCTCATGTTTCCTTTGATGAAATATGATATAGACATGTCACCTGTATGTCTGGCCCCTGTTCAGTGGCTCTCTCCAAGCCCATCTGTCTATTGTTCATTCTTGGCACATCTCCCACAGAGCTGTGGTTTGATGGCTTCTGTAGGGGCTCCATCATTTTGCAGGGAGCTGTTGGATGGCGAATGTGGTGCTGTATCCTCTGAGCTGTGGTCTGTGGCTCAGGAGATGTGATTTTAGTACAAGCACTGTGGAAACATCACAAGTATTTGAAGTCATGTTTGGGTCCTGCTGGACACATGGTCTACTAAGTCCTGAGACAGGGCAGGTTTTGTGTGACTTTTAAAATGTATTTTGCTGTGTAGCCTCAATGGCTGGGACTAGAGGCATGCCCCATCATGCCTAGTCATGGAAATGCATCAGCTCAGTTAATTACCAGGACATCCTATCCTATTGGGAATGACTCTATCCCACTCCTCAGGGTCCTTTCCCTGCAATGATAAGGCCAAGAGTGGAAAGTCTCATGCTGACCAAACCTATCCTGGGCCCCAGGAGAGTGTGTACAGCATTTGTTGACTGGCCCTTTCCAGGAGGTGGCCCAAGGGGTCTTCTATTTCCAGACAGCATTTAAAGCTGCTACATGTTTTTTATTGATGCCTCATAACAGGGATATGAGACAGGTTACTCCATTTTCCAGAGAGGTAGATGTGAGTTCCAGATCAGTGGTCTTGGGGTGTAACTCAATGTAGAATAACCCTGAAGGTCTTGCCCTTACCCCTTGGCCAACAGTATATCACCCTGTAGTGTCCTCACAGATCTGTATCTGTCTCAAAAGTCACTGCATGGCTCCTTTCCACAAATAGTGCAACATGTTGTAGAGATTACAAAGCAGCCTGACTATCTTTTTCAGAAGACAGCTGTTTTCTGAATCCTGTATAACCTCAGTTTATCCAATTCTTTATAAACTGGAGATTGTCTTAAGGCATGGGTAGATTTATATCCATCCCTTAGGGGGACTGGTAGAGAACTCTACCATCCTCTGTACCCCTAAGACCTATAAGACCAGATGACCCACATATGAGTGTACCTAAATGATTCTTTTAAGTGTACAGAAAATTCCATTTAAAGTCTAAAGACAGGCCCTACTGTATTGTAGAAGGGTAATGCATTGGAGATGAAGCCAGGACTGTGCAGTAATGCCTTCCTGAAGATTTCTGGGTCCCAGGGTCCAGTTCTGTCCACAGAGTCGCAGAGTCGCATGCCATCTGTTGTCTGTTGCAGGGTACCCATAAGCCCAACCCTCCTCAGAAACCTCTGCCTGCTGATCCACTGAGCAGGACATCTCGGCTCACTAGTGCCTTGGTGAGGACCCCAGGGCAGCAGGAGTCTGGCCTCCATCCAGTCCCCAGCAGGTGAGTGTCCTCTAATGGTGTGGGGTAACTGAAATAACCACACTGGAAAGCAGGTACCAGGTGTTAAACCATGTTTCCTACTTTCCCCCAGTATGAGAAACATGGAAGATATATTAAAGTAACCAGGAAGCAGTCGATGCAAACTATACCTATGCATGCCTAAACATCACCCAGGGCTCTCAGCAATGGCTCACTTATTTGAGAGATCATAGCAGAATGAAGACGACCCAGAAAAGATGAGCTGCTGACAAGGGCCCAGCCGGGTCTCCTACAGGCACCAAAGAAAATGGTGTATCTGTATAAAGGCAAGACCTCCACCACCTCACCAAAACCTGTTCTGCCTACTCCAGGGGCTAAGATCCTAGTTCAGGTTGGAAGATAATGGAGAGATGAGGCCTAAGCAGTTGCTCAGTAGGGTCGCCCTGGGGACTTCTCTAAAGCTGAGTGGCCTGTGCAGGCTATCTCTGGCTGGGGTCATCCACACCCTCTCCCACAACTCTACTTAGATGGGCAGAGGTAACCCACATCTGTACGGAAGCTGGCTCGTGCCTTTGTGACCTAGCCAATATTAAATACTAAATTATCTCAGGAGTTGCATTTAAAACAAGGGCAACAAATACTCAACACACTGCTCCCAGATACTTGCTGCAGGGGTTGCTCATACCAGGTATCTCTATGGTAGGATCCATGGCATGCTGGGTGCTCTCCCATCTTCCATGTTTGCTGATGCCGTGGTGTCACTGGGAGCACTGACAGCAAGGAAATCAGCAAATGCTGCAGCTGAACCTCAGTGAAATTATTCCCTTGTGGTTCTTTTGCTGTTTGGTTTGTCCTCAGTTCTTGGGCTAGAACATGCTAGGCAAGTGCTTGGTCTTGGTCTCCCTGGTAGCCCAGGCTGACCTGAACCTTCCGATTCTTCATCCTCCTTTGTGATGGGATTATAGGAAGGAGCCACCATGCCTGGCCAGCAGATTGCCAAACTCACAACCCACTCTTCTGCCTCACGTGCCCTCTAGCAGGCCATGAGTGCTGTGAGCACCAGAGAATCAAAGGTACTGACTGTTGGCCAGGATGCATGCTTAGTAACTCCTATCTCTGCAGGGGAAGACACACGTCAGTGAAACATTACAGCTCTTGGGAAGAATGTTGGCCTAGGAAAGAAATGCCTGCCTCATAAATCTCAGAGATAATGCTGGTCAAAGGGTCGGGACAACAGTCTAGTTCACCACCGTGGAAATGCAGAAAAAGTTGTGTAGCATTTGAGTTCTTTTTATATTCTACTAGATAAAACTACTACAGAGACATGACCTGATAGGTCTGACAGGGGAGCACTCCATTTCAGAATGTCCCCCCACCCCCAAGCATCCTGTCTATCCTCTACTTACAGCAGCATGGCTCCCCATATCTGGAGCTGTGCAATGTTAGATAAAGTAGCCACTAGGCATATATATCGGAGCTGGTTAAAAATAAAATTGAAGTAAGCCAAAGTATAAACACATGTGCCACCAGATTTTGAACACTTAACCCTGCCCCTGTCAATTCCCCCGGCAGTTAACGCTGATTGCATACCGAGATGATGATACAGCAATAGGATGGAGGGAGTTCACCTATGCCACTCGGGTGTTAGAAACACAGAATTTGAGACTGGTGAGAACAGCTCTGTGGCTAAGAGCACTTGCTGTTCCTCCAGAGGACCAGAGTTCAGAGTCCAGCACTCACATTGGGTAACTCCCCCTGGAGCTGTTATAGATAGTACTGAATCAGAGGCACCCACTGCTGGCCTCCACAGGCACATGCAGAGACATACAGATAAATAAATCTAAAAAGAAAACTAGGAAATACCTGAGCAGCTCATATCCGTTTTTCTGCAAATGGTGCTATTCATAGGTGGCACAGCTCCAGAGAGGTGAGGTGGGCTGTCACATATCACTAGGAGTTCTGTAGTTAGGTCCTTGATGTAATCTACTTTCTCTCCCAAAAGATAGCCTGGCTTCCAGTATCAGGTGTGGGGGAGGTCAGTGGCTTCTAACATGGGAGACCCACCTGTGTATAGGAGCAGGCTCCTTCTGAGCTTTTGTATCTATAGAATGGCTTCTGAGAGTCTGACTGCTGTTTTGTTTTCTCCTCTCTGGCTTGCTCTTAATTCAGACCTGCTCCCAAGCATCAAGTGCCCAGATCTTCCCACAATGCCTACATCAAGTGACAAGCAAGCCCAGACTGGTCCTCAGCAGTGAAGACAGAAGTTTGCACTATTGTCAACTCCAGCGGAGTGATTTTTTTTTTGTACCAACTTTCAGAATTTTTAAAGTGTTTAAAACGCCATTGTTTCCAGAACTTTGAGCTACTGCCGTCGGTGCTGTGCTGTGGTGCTTTGTGTCCTTGCTCAGGTACTTGTAAGTTATTAATTTATGCAAAGTGTCTATTACCGCGCAGGGCGCCGTAGCAGGCATTTGTACCATCACCGGGTGTTTTCGGAAGGCTCCTTGTGCTTTTCTTCTTCTGGCGGACTTGAAATATCCTGCTTGATGGGATCAAAGACAAGATGTTTACTTTCTGTTTGAGGCCTTATTGCAAAACAGTTCCCCAGCTTCCCAGGGCTGTGTTATGGCACCAGACACACAGCTCAGGAGACCCCAAGTGGAACTGGAATGGGTTTTTTGTTTTTATTCCTTTGGAATCCCTATCTTGGGCTGTAGCCAGGGCCTTCAGGAAGGTTTTGGGCCTTGCATACTGACAGGGCTTCAGGCCCTGCAACCTGAGGTTCTCAGACCACTGGTAAGATCTAGCTCTGGCCAGCAGTTTTGGAGAAAACCTGGGGTGCAAGCAAGAAGGTTGAGGTGTGGCTACACCAGGAGAGAGACTGGAACCCTAGTTCAGGCATACAGTTGACCTTGAGCTGGTTAGCATGAACACCTTTGGAAGGCAAAGAAGTCTGTGGTGCTGCACAAGGCTTTGCTCCCAAAGCCAGCAGGAGCTTCTCTCTGGCTGCCCTTTTGCAGAGTGCTGGCATGGGCATGTTGTTTACATTGGGAACAGTGGTGTTTCTACAAGAAAGCTACTGCCTGGGCACTGCAGACCTCTGTCTCCTACCCTGTTTAGAACTAAGCAAATTACCACATTGTCTTCTTGACTGAAATACAATGACCCTGTGTTCTGACAGATAGAGGAGGCTTTCTATGGGACCATAAACATTTTCAGATGTGAACTAGTAACCAGATCTAGTCGATCAACCATGGAGATAAAAATCTCTTTTTTACTACAAGGCCTGACTTACTAAAAATTAGGCAGAATCCATATGCTTGCAAAAGTCCTAACCTCGTGGAATGCTATTCTCATTGTATAGCCTGTCTTCTGTCCTTATTAGTAGTCATTGAACACAGAGCCCAAAGTCACCGATCTGTTCTCTTTGGGGCATCCTATTCAAAACAGAGTCCCAGTCTTTCCCACACTAGGAACATACCTGTTGATTGTCATACGATGACAAAGCAATAAGTTCCCCAATGCTGAAGGCTCATGAAAGGCAGGCCCATCTGGGCAACCCTTCCATCTCTTACTCTTTCAATGTCTGACTGGAAAGCCACCTTTAGGAGCAGATCTTGATGATGTCTCACCCTAATGTTATGATAGACATAAAAAAAATCATGTAAGGCAAAATGCCAGAGGCCTTCGCTGTGTCCTGGTAGGGTGTGGGATAACAAACTCTCTCATTGGAAGGTAACTGACAGCAGTTCTGTAACATCTGAGTGTATTAGAATCAGGCTTCTTTGGAAGGGTCACGTCAATGGCCGGCCTATGCCTCGAAGCAGAAGGGAAAATACAGACTTAGAATTTGGTTTGCTTTCCATAATTCAAAACTGTATTCAGCTTTGGGAAACACAGCCTTCGCGATGGGGGATAAAGAAATCCACATCACGGATGCATAAAAGGACTCTCATAGCCTGCCTCTTTTCAAGGCACAGTGACAAGATAGCTGCCACTGGGACACGTACAGAATTTTTGTACCTGATGTGACACTGGCTTGTTGTATTAAGGTCAAACTCACACAACTGGAAAAGGTACAGAACTGTGTGAGCCGTCTTTGGAGTACTCAGAGCTTTAGCTGGAGCACGTGAACCTTTTTCAGGTGGGAGTGAGATGAGAGGAGAGCTACGAACCCATATTTCTTCTGTCTTTTCTGTACTTTGGTTTTAGAGGACCAGGGAGAGTATGGTTTAAAGGAAGTTGAAACTGTGATCTTCTGCCATCTCTCCAGTAGCTACCAAGGGTGCTGAGGGTGCCTTCCCAGCTGAGCAATGCTGGCTGCTTGCCTTTCCAGAGCCATGCATCCATTTCTGAATAAGAATATATTTAATCCTGATATTCCCTTACAGGACAGACAGACAGTATCATTAAAGGAATAACTCTAAGATATAGTAGTTATCAAATAAAGCATATTTAGCAATCCTCAATTTTAAAAAAACTTGGGAACAATAACCAGCATTGGGGTTTATTGAGAGTGGGTTTTTCACTCCTTTTCTACATCCTTTAAATGACAGAGACCAAAATTAATACTCAGAGTTCGATTGCAGTCTACCTTAAAAACACACTATAGACATGCTTAGAGTTTGTTGAGTTTTGTGAGAGCATCCCTGAGAAAGTCCAGTAGAGCGGTCCAGTGCCTAGACATGAGGCATGGCTGGAAGGTCTCATTTCCTTCCTATATCAGGGAATAGTTATAGGTGATATGACTCCACTTCATAGGCAAGTGGGAGGTGAACCTTGCACGCATTCCACTTAAAAACTGGTCTCCTACAGTATTCCCAAATCTGTTTTCCCAGCACGTGGGATCAGATAGAGAGCAACAATGCAGCTTTCCATTTCAAAATATGCATGCCGAGTTTGCACTCTCTGAGTGTTTCCAGCTTACACATGTGGGATGACATCACAGAAACCACACAAGCAACAAATTAAACTCTACGGGAAGAAATACTCCTGACTGGTCTCCAAGGAGACGTTTTTATGCCTTCTTAACTTTATTAGGAATTCTCAGGCTGAAGCTATGGGTCATTGTTCTCCAACAAATCAATACAACCCATCAATGCATTCCCTAAGAACTTCCAAACCCTGAGCTGTGTTTGAATGTTCTTAGGGGCCTGTAATCCCCATGGTGCTACAAAGAGGCTGGAGATGGGCCAATGAGAAGGCCTGAGCATCCTCCTGCCTCTCAGCAGATGTTTACTGAGCACTCTGAGCCTGCGCCACCCTGACAACTGGGAGGACAATGGCTGGGCAGTAGGGCGCCTGCCCTTTCCTCTGAGACTCTTCATGTTCTAATTCTCTCAGATCAGGCCAGCCTAGGGACACTTTGTCTACAGATCCTCCCCCACTGTTCTCAGATGGCCTCAGTCAGACACAAATAACCCAGATGAAGAGATACCAACAGTCCCAGAAGCCCCCAGAAGCAAGAGCTGGGTGTTTTGAACAGTATGCAAAGTGCGTGATGATACTGCAGAGGCCATTTTTTCTCTCTTCCACTCATATTAAGAAGCTAGCCCTCCACTCCTAGTTCTGCCACACAACTTGGCAGTGGCTCCATCACACAAGTACACAGGAAAACATAGGCACCAATTTACCTTCCGCTCTTGCCAATCACAAGTGCCTTATACTGGCCAGATCCCATGCCAAATCCTCTCTCACCCAAGAAAGCCAAATCTCTACTTTTGTCACTACTTCAAGCCAAAGTGGTAACTGCTATAGGGTGTGGCTACCCTTCAAGGTTCACCTATTAGACAGCACAGTCCAACCTTCTCCAGGGCCATAGCATAGAGCAACCCTCCAGCATACAGCAGCCTTGAATCTATCCCACAGCATATCAACCACAGCGACCTCCCTCTTAATGCCTTGCTCTAATTAGAAGGTGAAGTCGGCCACAGAAAATCTAGTTAGCACTGACTGCAAAATGCTGTTGCTGCAACCTGAATTTCCTACTGGCATCTCTTGCTTTTAAACTCTGATGAAGTAAATGATCCTCCCAGATGTGTGAGCCCCATGCTCAGAACCACTGGGCATTGGGGACCCTTGCAGGAGACATTTGTATAGACATGAATGTACCATTTCTGTGCCTTTTGTGGAGAACAACATACAAGCATATATACATACTTACACATACATACACACATTAGGAAAAGTAATAGTAGTTTATTATCAAAACCACTGCAAGTGTTTCTCATGAGAGAAACTAGGAAGAGAAACGCTGCATACGAAATTGTTGGGATGCTCAATAATGCATAGAGACTGCCAAGAGACCTAACACTCAAGAATCCTTTTTAGCCCCTGCAAGTTGAGAGCCCTACAACCTGCCTGCCTTTCTATACCTTCAAAGAGTATGTTCTGTGATATCTGTAATTCTCCAAAAAAAGTAACATTTCAGTCATTAATTTAGCACATTTAAATTGAGACAGTATCAAGTCAAATGCTAGTTCATCTTTCTTGGCCTGAATATTGTTACTTCACACAAATCTCATGAGGCTCCAAGGAAGGACACTTAGAACTAACAGTCCTCCTATCTGGGCAACTTGGTAGTGGTTGGGAAGCCAACCATGCGAATGTGGCAACAACCAACATAACTCTAACTGGCCATAGGCTGCTTAGCTCCTTTCTGATTAATGTTACATCTCAGTTAACCTGCACAGTCATTCTGCAGGGCTTCATCCTTTGATAGTGCTTTGATAAACTCATGTTTTCACATTTGTATGTTACATGCTGTTATTTTTGTATGCATTTCTCATATGGGGGATCTACAAGTAAATACAGCCTACTAGTTCAGTAGAAAATGTCATTGTTAAGAATATTATATCCAATAAACAGTAAACAGATAAACATTAGGTGTCTCATTTGTTATCCAGAATGTTTTTGGTACAAAAATAAGGGAATGGTCTTGTGTAGAAAAATATACCTTCACTCATTAGTAAGAGCATCTTGGACCATTGTCCAAGCAACTGAGGAGAAGTGCTGAAGGAACAAGGTATGTGCACTGCCAATCCTGTGAACAAAGACAAAAGAAAATGCCTGTCAAAACACAACACTGTCAAGACAGTGGGGGGAAATCTGATACCATTTTTGAATAATGTGAATTCATAATCAGAATAATTTTTAAATCCATTTTACTTATAGAAAAGGTCAAAAAGTAAGCAATCACAGAAGTATCAGATTGTCAGCAAAGAAAATCTAAATGTGATGGGTATTTACTTAAACATTTTTAAAACAGCATCCAACTTCATAAAGAAACATGCAGAAAATAAAAATATGTATCCTCTATGTATATATATATATATATATATTCAAAATTATAGCAAAATAAAGGACTCTTTGTTCTTACCACTTAACCCAAGACAAAGCAAGTAGGCTTCGTGATGTCAGCAAGTAACTGACAAATCAAATTCACATGCAGCAAACAAGCATTCCAAATGCACAAATGTACAGAATGTAACCTCTGCCCTAGTGCCTCTCAGGATAAAAGAATAAATCAACAAACAAAACAAGTGTGTGCCCTAGAAATGAGAGACTTCTTCGGCCACCTAGCGAACAACAAATATAACACCAGAAACAATGCATACTATGGGATGTTTTTCAAACTCCCAGAATTAGAAGCATTTACCTGTTGTCCTCGTTAAACTCTACTCCTCTGCCCTGTCTCTGATAATTCAATTCAGAGGGTCTGAAAGGAACCCACAAAGGCAATTAACAGGTGACCCCATTGTGTCTTAGGATCAGGAAGGTTCAGTGAAAGAAACCCTTATGATACTAGAACAAAAGCAGTCCCCCAGGGGAAAACTCAGAGGCCTAAATACATAAATTACTAAACAAAAGAGTTGAGAATAAGTGAGCTTGGTGTCTATAAAAGGAGCAACAAAAGCCTTGCATAAAGATAAGTAATAAATCTATAAAAATAAAGCATGTAATTTAATGAGTTAGAAAAACAGAACCATTGGCGGCTGTAAACCACCTTCTAATCATCAAGCAAAATGAATGGCAAATAATGTAGCCTTTGAGCATGGAGACCCAGCTGTCCACCAGAACCCAGTGCGTTTGTCTCAGGAATGTAAGCATGGTTCAGTAGTAAGGTCAGACAGTTGACAATGTCTTCAAGCTTGATGCTGGCAAGGAAGGATGTGAGGTGTACTCCTTCCTCATAGAGGAGCTGGTAAGTGCCATCTGCATCAGACCCAGAGAGGACAGTAAGTCCATGCTGATCACAAAGCAGAAGATAAGCTCTTATATGAAAGGTAAAATGCCAATTCAACATCTACAGACAGGATTATACACAGCCCACAAACCAGTCCTCAGCTGAATGCTCTACGACCTCTGCAGAAAACCACTTATTAGGAATGAGGCCTAACAGATTGGGACCGCATGTGACAGGTCCCCAATCCCGAAGTGCAGTGGGTGATGGACGGTGGGCAGATGGGGAACAGACACCTGTAGACGGAACTCATATTGGAAGTTTTATTGAGGGGGAGGTAAGAAAATAAGGGAAAGAAAGAAAAGAGAGGTATAGAGACGCAGAGACAGGACAGAAGAGAGGGGGGAACATTCTGCCCCTGCAGGGGAACAGCTGGGATGGGGGAACGGAAGTGGGTGGAGCCTTACTTTTAAAGAGCCAGGGTACATACACCTGCCATGCGCAGGTGGGCGAGAGGTGGGGCCAGGTTTGCCTGCATTACAACAGCGCTGATACCTGCTCACATCTTTATTGGATGGGTATTCTTGCTGTGGTTTCCCTAGGATTGAGTCTTGGCTATCTTTTCATGGGCCTTCTCTATCTTAAAAAAGAAAAGAAAAAGTCCACTCCTGTGAGGGCCTTTATAGCTAGCTGCTTTACTCAACAGCTAAGTAAGCCAGTTTGTCCCCAGAGACACAAAAACATGCGATGCTGCTAACTTTGCTGGTGTTTAAGTTTGGCCCAGCTAAAGCTTCCCACATTTCTCTCCTTGGGCTCCTAACCAACAGTCTTGGTGGTGGTTAACTCCTCTTTGTCTACAAACTATATGATTTGCCTCAAAAATCTTGTCTGCTTTCCTAAATAAATGTAATACACTACACTACTCATTGGTGAGGCTGCACAGCCGCCTGTGGGCTGGGTCCTTTGACCAAAGAGGTGAGTGTGTGCAAACGCATGAACTGATGGGCCTGTCCTCGTGGCACTGTCCTTCAACTACACACGGCTGACAGAACAGCACCAATCTTCAGATATGGATTTTTGAGCTTTGATGTGAGGCCAAGAGCCTGAGAGAAACCGCCTGGGTGCTTAGGAGGCACCCCACTGCGGGAGGCGACAGCAGCCTGGACTGCAGTGGGGCGGGAGAGACAATGAGAAACACATGAGAAGAAGGCCAGTAGGCCTGGAGCATCTCGAGGACAGCTGGAGGGGGGAGACACCCGCGTGCACGGTTGTGTAGGGCCAGCACATAAATATTTGGTTTCACATCTAACTGCAAAGGCACAGGGCAAGAAAACATTCCTGTTCTATGGACGCCCAGTGACGAGACCACATGTGCATGTGCTTAGGTAAAAAGATGTATTTCAATGTGAGAAGAGTTGCCTGTTACATAAAAGTCACTGTGAATCTTCAACTAAATAAATAAACGTCTTGGCCTCAGAGACCCCGCATGTCACATGTCCAGCCCAGCAGTCAGGGTTTGCTATTTCGCTCCAGTTGGTCTCTCAGATGGGTGGTGCTCCAGTCAGTGGACAGAGGACTTCCTTGGCAGCTTTTTTTTCCTTTCTTCTAGTAGGGAGAGTACATTCTAGAAAAACCACAACAAACAGGTGGATGTCCTTCGAGGTTTTTGGCAGGTTCTGTGAGTCTGAAAGTACTACAAAAGTTGACTTTGATAGACAGAAGGGAGATCCTCACCTGTCTGTCAAAAACTCTGGCCATTTCTAAGACACCTTTGCCAAACTGGAAGGAAGCAGAACTTACTTAATATGATTACAGATCAGAATGTGCGATTCTCATAGATTTCTTTCTTCTCCAAGGAAAAAAATCTCCCAATAAACATTACCTCATTTTTCACACTTGCATCTGCCCCTTTGTCAAGAAGTAACTGAACTAGCTGCTCGTGATTATTTAAGACAGCAACCTGAAAACAAAGTATGGTGTGAGGAGTGCTCCCCTCCAGCAGTGCCCCCCTCCAGCAGTGCTCCCCCAGCAATGCTCCCCCCAGCAATGTTCCCCCCAAGCAGTGCTCCCCTCCAGCAGTGCTCCCCTCCAGCAGTGTCCCCCTCCAGCAGTGCTCCCCTCCAGCAGTGTCCCCCTCCAGCAGAAGTGCAGGTAGCAGAGGCAGATGATGGAGGGTGGCTGGTCCACCATATGAGGCAACCCTGCCCACTGCAGCTCTGTTCTGTCCTGAATCTGCTGACTGCTCAGCAGCAACGGGGAAATGTTTCTTCCTTCTGTTCACACTATAGGAAAGGACTAGACAGGACAGCCCAGGGCAGAAAAGCAGTCAAGTTCATTGTTTAAACAGGTCTACTTTGATCCCACAGTGGCCCTGGGAATTGGGGTTGATAGTCCTTACAGATATTGGGGGGGACACAAAACATTATAGTGCGGGGCACAGAAACAGTGCCTACTCAGAGGCTCAAGTGGACTCCAGGATCCAGGAGTAACATAGAAGTCCCATTTCAAATATATAGAGACAATAGTGACCTTCCCCTGACCATTAACAGATAGGTAATTCTATGCAACCAAATCTGGGGCTCTGTTATAAGTCACTCAACTCTCAAGCCATGTCTAGTGATAACAAAAACTGAGATCCCAGGGAGAAGCATACCATGAGAGGTGTCTTTCCATCTTTGTCCCTCACATTCACATCAGCCCCAGCCTCGATGAGGAGAGAAGCTACCTTCTGGCTTCCCGTCATAGCAGAGACTCTCATGAGTGGTGTCCATCCAGAACCAGTGTCCACAACATCCACCTATATCACCAAAGGGACAACTGCCTCAGTCCAACCACTTCCCTGTGGCATCACTGGGCAGACATACAGAGTGGAGTGTGTGTGAACTTCTCCAGGGTCCCTGACTTTCTACACGTGGGGTGAGCTGCTAAATTCACATCTGTGTTCAGGAAGTGGATATGCTGAGTCTCATAGGGAGTTCCCCCCTCTGCTGAGACAGCTCAAGGACTCCCTACTGGCATACTCATCTTTACTGTAAAAATGGAAACATGAGAGTCTAGGAAGGGACCCAACTACACCTCTCCCTGGGCCCCTGTTCTTTCTTTAGCTGTAGTTTTTAATTATTTTTAAATTTTAGTTTTATTTTCTATGTTTGGGTGATTTGCTTGCATGTTATATCTGTGCACCATGTTCATGCAGTGGCCATGGAGGCCAGAAGAGGGCATCAGAACCCCTGGAGCTGAGTTACAATTGTGCGCCACCATGTGGGTGCTGGGAATCAAACTCAGGTCCTCTGGAAGAGCAGCTAACTGCTCTTAACCACTGAGCCATCTCTCCAGCCACCAGCTGCAATTTTACTAATGTTTATTTTCCTTTTTACTTTCTTTTTAAAGTTATTTATCTATTATGCATACAGCTTCATGCCTGCATCTATGCAAGCCAGATGAAGGTACCGATCTCATTACAGATGGTCATGAGTCACCATGTGGTTGCTGGGAATTAACTCAGGACCTCTGAAAAAGCAGTCAATGTTTATAAGCTCAGAGCCATCTCTCCAGCCCCTCTTCTTTTCATTCTTAAATTGAGACAGGGTCTCACTATGTATTTATGTATGTGTGTATATGTGTATGTGTATGTGTATATATGTACATGTACATGTATGTGTATATGTATATGTATATCAGGCAGTCTCAAGCTCACAGAAATCCATCTGCCTTCTGCCTCTCCACTACTGGGATTAAAGGTGTGTGGCACCATACCTGGCTGGGTAGTATTTTGTCATTTGCTATATCTTTCATAGTGCTTTAAATCTTGCCTATAACAAGGCAGTGATGACAAGATTGTATGCTTTTGTACTTCACAAGGCTTAAAACTCAAGCAGAGAGACCAGATCCATCATACAAACTAACTGGATGCATTCATGCCCAGTGCTATCTCCAAAACATGGTGTGCCCATTAGTAAGATGATCAACATCCATAACCTATTTTATAACCAACTCTTTCAATTCAGTCTTCCAAAATAGTCATGAGGAATAAAAAGACAGAGGTGTCACCTCTCCAACTTATAGGATTATGCCCAACCAAACCATGGAGAGTAAGGATGGAAATGAGAGAGCATGGGGTATGTACATGCACAGTGGACACACATGCATACAGACAGAGAGGGAGAGAGAGGGAGGGAGGAGGGACAGAGAGAGGGAGGAAAGAAAAGAGAGGAAACTACAGAACAGTTCCTCAAACATGCAAAGATGATCCACCAGACCTGAATAACCAACAGGTGGCCAGTAGGAGGCCCAGGGACATCCAATTGTTCAGATACATAAACCTAATGGATATTCTCTAGCCCATCTCCGCTCTTCCTCATCTAAATAAATAGTCAACTTAGAAGCAACAAGCTCTGCTGTGTTTGAATAACAATAAAGCAAGTCCTGCCTTGACAAGAGGCTTTAGAGTCTCTAAAGCACCTGCACATACAGCCTGTCTGGTCCTGAGGGTGGGGAATGACTATGTATTATTATTCCTAGTTTAGAAGTTATCAAACCTGCCTCAGGAATCCAGTATTTTCCCCCAGGTCACACAGCACTTTAAATGCACAAATGTTTGCCCATTAAGGGAATGTCACCCTCAGCATAAAATCTACACCTGAGAAGGTGGTGGTAACCCTGCCTGACTCTCAGCCTTGCTCATGGTCTTCAGAAACACCAGGTGAGCCATCTATCAACAATATGGAGGCTGGGCTGCCTTCACCATCCCTACTGGCCAGCTGTAGACATAGATGTCTCTGGGGGACCCATTTGTGCTGGCCTGTCCTCTGTAAAATGGTCCCTGAGCTACAGAAAATGGAATTAGACCCAAACGGCTGGGTTGTATACCTGAAGCCCAGAACACCCACACTTCAAACGTCCAGAATTTAAGTGTTTACATCAGGGAACATGACTGCCTGAGAACCCTTTTCCTTTCTCAGGAGACATCACCTTTTCTTCATTACAGACTCATAGTAAACTACACAGGGGCCTTGTAGCCACCACCGCCACATAGACCTCTCTCACTGAGACCAGGCTGCTAAGACTTCTGACCTCTTGCAAATGTCCCTCAGGCATAAAGAAACAGGATATATGATAAGATGGAATTATCTTAATGACTGGGATTTTTTCCTTTGAGGTAAATTGGTTTTTTGAAAGCAGTGGCAGGTAACCAGTGAGAAGCCCTGCTTTGCCTCATCACACCTCAGAGATGAATTAGACACATCTACCAACATCCCTGGGAATGAGACATTCCCAAACTTGAGGCTCCAAGTCATCAATTCAACTTCACAGGATTACCACCTGCCAATCACACCCAACACCAAGCTCTGACCTCCACATGTACACATATGTACATATCTATACAAACATGCATATTCATCACACATCACATATATGCATAGAGAGAGATAGCCCAAGAATAAAAACAACCTAACTTTGAAAGCTAGTAGAAGCAGCTAGACCTTACACATCTCTGCATCTTCAGCATGTAGCAGGTACTCAATAAGGCTTCAGTGACCAACTAAACAGACACCAGCAATGAATGAAGGGACAAAGCCGCAGCATAGATGCATTGGGCCAGCTCTGAGCTTCACCCACCTCCTTTGGCTTCCATGGTGAGATGAAGCCTGGCTGTCACCTCAGATCCCCAAGCATCCTCCAAGGCCATCCAAGATCATGAGCCAGAGACTCCTCTCAGACTTTCCTCTGAGCAAGTGACCAAGGCCTGCTTGCCTCTTCAAGACCCCAGAGGATGCTTTCAAGTTCTTACCAATGTGGGGTCATTTGAAAGTAATTGGACCCCATAATTTTATAGGGAATAGCACTATTAGGAGGTGTGGCCTTGTTGGAGAGGATATGACCTTGTTAGAGGAAGTATGTCACTGTGGGGGCAGGCTTTGAGGTTTCCTATGCTCAGGATACTGCCTAGTAGGTCAGTCAACTTCCTGTTCCCTGCAAGACGTAGAACCTTTCAGCTACTCCAGCACTACATCTGCCTGCATGCCACAATGCTCTCTACTATGATAATGGATTGATCCTTTGAAACTGTTAAGTGAGTCACCCCAATTAAATGTTTTCCTTATAAGAGTTACTGTGGATGGGTGGTGGTGGCGCACGCCTTTAATCCCAGCACTCAGGAGGCAGAGGCAGGCGGGTCTCTGTGAGTATGAGACCAACCTGGTGTACAAGAGCTAGTTCCACGACAGTCTCCAAAGCCACAGAGAAACCCTGTCTCGAAAAAACAAGCAAACAAAAAAAGAGTTTCTGTGGTTACAGTGTCTCTTCATAGCAATAAAAACCCTAACTGAGACAGTGTGGCTAACAAGGAAGAAAGGAAGGCCGTACCTCACAGCCATCCTTTATCATCCAGTCAATCACAGGGCAGTGGCCTCCATCTGCAGCCCAGTGCAGAGCTGTGCAGCCTCCAAGGTCTCTAGCATCCCAAGAAGCTCCGTGTCTTCGGAGGTATTTCACAACATCCAGGTGCCCCGCATAGCAAGCAAGCATGAGACTGTAACAAACAGAAAATGGAAAATCTGCCATTGGTGCCACCTCTGACCTTGGGTCCACATTTAGTCTACCTAGATTAAATAAAAAAGTCATCGAGTTTAAAAATATAAAAAAAATAAACTGTGCTTGAGTGACACAAAATGTACACATGTTTTGATAGATAAAACCTAGTAAATCAATACAAAGAAGTGTTGGGTCAGTCACAAAAGGAAAATTAAGTCTAGAGTAGGAAAAATCTTAAAACAATATGAAGAATAAAAGATGCCAGGCATCAAAAGTCATAGCATATGATCCATTTACATGGAACATCCTGGAGAGCTGAATGAGGAAGACAACAGTAGACTAGGAGCTGCCTTGGCTAAGAAGGGAAATGCACTTGCTGTATTTCTAGAGTCATGAGACTGGCCCACACAGTGGTGGTGTGGTGACGGGTGAACAACCATGTGAATGTATTCTAAAGCACTGCATTGTATGGAATTTGGATTACATCTAAACAAACAAACAAACAAAAAACTGGAGCAAGATGGCCCAGCAGGTAAAGGCTAATGACCCAAGTTCAATCCCAGAGGCCACACCGTGAAAAGAGAGAACAGACTCCTGAAAGCTGTCTTCCACATGAGTACCATAGCACATGAGCACTAATACATGCATACATGCACATACACATATATGAACACATACAAACCAAAATATAAAAGTGTTTGAAAATGAATATTGGCTATGATTAAGTATAGCTTATTGGACTTTAAAATATCCATAAAACCCAGATTATATTCAAGACAGATTAGTGAAGGACCATGGGTCATACTGTTAGCAATCATTATTAAACCAGTTCCTCACTCTAAAACAGGAAGTTCACTCACTGTCATTTTCCTTTATAGAGAGCAAAAGATCGTCCATTCCAGCTGTTGGGGGTTCCTCCATGTAAGAGGCTGTCAACTCCTATGGAATTCTTTTGTGTACCTCCTAATCAGATAACTGTATGGCCAGAGAGCACTCATAGATGCTGGATGTTAGTGGGGACTGATGTAGTCACATCATACACATGTATTACCCTATAGATTATTTTCTAGTTGCCATGAGGAAAATGTAACTTTACAGAAATCCAGCTATCACTACTGTTACCAGAATCAAGTCTGGAATTGCCACCTGTAAGGCATCGCACAGTATAGGCTTCCACAGCTGTTTCAGAAACAACACAAGCTCTCAAGGCTCCTGCTGAAGATAGCACCCTGTGTTCAGCCAAACCTTTATAAACTTGACATGAAAATACCTTTGCTGCTCTCTTGGGTCCCTTGGCCTGGGGACCACCCACACTCAGGGCACAGGGCACAGGTGAGCTACAGGTCCCCATCTTAGACCCAAATTCCTCCTGCTTGCCCTCACTCAGATCCCCTGCCTGGGGACAGCAGCCAGGTCAACTCACCCCTGGACAGTGACCAGGAGCCTACAAAGACAGCCAGTCTACTGCTGCCCGCACTCAGGGCAGAGGACAGAGGACAGAGAGCAGAGGCCATAAAGTATGGGATTTGCTTGCACCCACCGAAAGGGAACCAAGGTGGAAGAGGCTCTTTCTACACCCACTGGAAGAAGTGATGGGAAAGAGGCAATGTAAGAACACACTCAGCAACAGAAAAACAAATATGACACCACCAGAGTCTAGAGATTCTATACCAGCAAGACCTGAACACCCCAATGAGCATGAAGAAGGGAATGACCTTAAAAACACCTTCATGAAAATGATAGAGGCCTTCAAAGAGGATATAAGAACTTTCCTTAAAGAAATATAAGAAAAAACAAACCAAAAAATCCAACAAATGCAAGAAAGAGAGGAAAACACGAAGCAAAAATTACAAGAAACAATTCAAACAGTGCAAGGGTTAAAAGCTAACATGGAGACAATAAAAAAACACAGTCTGAAGGAATGCTGGGAATAGAAAAACTGGGGAAATGGTCAGGTACTACAGATGCCAGCATACCCAACAGAATACAAGAGATGGAAGAGAGAATCTCAGGTGCTGAAGATATACTAGGGGAAATAGATTCATTGACCAAAGAAAATCTTAAGTCCAACAAATCCCTAATGCAAAATATCCAGGAAATATGGGACACCATAAAAAGACCAAACCTAAGAATAATAGGTATAGAAGAAGGTGAAGAAAACAACCTCAAATACATTCAACAAAATCATAGAAGAAAACTTTCCCAACCTAAAGAAAGAGATGCCAATGAAGGTACAAGAAGCTTACAGAACACCAAATAGAGTGGACCACAAAAAAGTCCCCTTACCACATAATAGTCAAGACCCCCCCAAGCATACAGAATAAAGAAAGAATACTTAGAGCAGCTAAGGAAAAAGGTCAAATAACATATAAAGACAAACCTATCAGAATTACATGTAACTTGTCCATGAAAACGCTGAAAGCCAGGAGGTCCTTGGATATATTCTATCAAAACTAAGAGACCACAGATGCCAGCCCACATTACTATACCCAGCAAAGCTTTCAATCAGTATAGATGGAGAAAACAAGATATTCCATGACAAAACCAGATTTAAACAATACATATCCACTAACCCAGTCCTACAGAAAGTTCTGGAAGTAAAACTCCAATCCAAGGAAGTTAACTACAACCAGAAAAACACAGGCAATAGATAATCCCACTTTACCAACAGCCAAAAGAGAAAAGGGGTGGAAATCCACATACAACTCCAACAATAACAACCATTCCAAAACAAACAAGGATGAGCAATCAAAAGTCTTAACTATCCCATAAAAAGGCACAGACTAACAGAATGGATTTGAAGACAGGATCCATCCTTCTACTGCATTCAAGAAACACACCTCAGCTTCAAAGACAGATGTTACCTCAGAGTTAAGGGTTAGGAAAAGATTTTCCAATTAAATGGGCCCAAGAAACAAGCAGGGGGTAGCAATCCTAATATCTAATAAACTAGACTTTAAACTGAAATCAATCAAAAGAGATGAAGGAGGTCATTTCATATTCATCACAGGAGAAATCCACCAAGATGAAGCCTCGATTCTGAACATCTATGCCCCAAACACAAAGGCATCCACATTCGTAAAAGAAACATTACTAAAACTCAAACCACACATAAAACCTCACACACAGTTTGGTATTGGCACAAAAATAGACAGGTAGACCAATGGAATTGAATTGAACACCCTGAGATTAATCCACAAACCTATAAGCAGCTGATTTTCAACAAAGAAGCTAAAATTATACAATAGAAAAAAAGATAGCATTTTCAACAAATGGTGCTGGCATAACTGGATGTTGGCATGTAGAAGACTGAAGCTAGATCCATGTCTATCACCATGCACAAAATTTAAGTCCAAATGGATCAAAGACCTCAACATAAATCCAGCCACACTGAACCTGTTAGAAGAGAAAGTGGGAGGTACCCTTGAATGAACTGGTACAGGAGACAGCTTCCTGAACATAACACCAGTAGCACAAACACTAAGATCGACAATTAATAAATGGGACCTCCTGAAACTAAGAAGCTTCTGTAAGGCAAAGGACACAGTCAGCAAGACAAAAAGGCAACCCACAGATTGGGAAAAGATATTCATGAACCCCACATCTGACAGAGGGCTGATCTCCAAAATTTACAAAGAACTCAAAAAGCAAGTCTCCAAAACCCAATTAAAAAGTGAGGGACTAACTTAAATAGAGAATTCTCAATAGAGGAGTCTAAAATGGCTGAGAGACACTTAAGAAAGTGCTCAACATCCTTAGCCATTAGGAAAATACAAATCAAAACAACCCTGAGATATCATCTTACTCCTGTCAGAATGGCTAAAATCAAAAACACCAATGACAGTCTATGCTGGAGAGGATGTAGAGAAAGGGGAACACGAAAGGGGAACACTCTTCCACTGCTGGTGGGAGTGCCAACTCATACAGCCACTTTGGAAATCAGTATGGAGATTCCTCAGGAAAATGGGAATCACTCTACCACAAGACCCAGCAATTCCACTCTTAGGCATATATCCAAAAGATGTCCATTCATACAGCAAGGATGTCTGTTCCACTATGTTCATAGCAGCATTATTTGTAATAGCTAGATCCTGGAAGCAACCTAGATGTCCCACAACTGAAGTGTGGATAGAGAACATGTGGTACATTTACACAATGGAGTATTACTCAGCAGAAAAAAAAACAATGGAATCTTGAAATTTGCAGACAAATGCATGGCACTAAAAGAAACCATCCTGAGTGAGGTAACCCAGTCACAAAAAGACAAACATGGTATGTAGTCACTCATATATGGATTTTAGACATGGATCAGGGGAGTGTCAGCCTACAATCCCAGTACCGGTGAGTCTGGGAAACAGGAAGGTTCCCAAAAGATATGAAGTGGAATGAGGCAAGCTCTCCTGAGCAGATTGGGAACATTGGGGGAGGGGAGATGGAACCAGGAAAAAGAGGAGGATAAGAGGAGGGGGAGCAGGAAGGCATGGGGGAGCAGGAAGGTTGAGTCGAGGTAAGAATAGAGGAGAGCAGGATGAGAGATACCATAACAGATAGAGTCATTATAGCTTTGAGGAGAGAGCTGACACTAGTGAGATTTCCAGAGATCTACAAGGATAACACCAACTGGCAGGCTAAGCAATAGCGGAGAGACTACATTAATAGCCCCTTCCTGATAAGGTTGATGACTACTTTATATGCCACCCTAGAATCTTCATCCAGTGACTGATGGAAGCAGAGACAGATACCCACAGCTAAACACTGAACTGAACTTCTGGAACCCAGTGACAGAGATGGAGGAGTGACGAGCAAAGGGGTCAAGACCATGCTGGTGAAACCCACAAAGACAGCTGACTGGGCAAGGGGGAGCTCTTGAACCCCAGACTGATGAGGGGACAACTGCTGAGAGGTCAACAGGGGACTGATCCAGACTCCATGAATGTAGTGTCAGTGAGGAGGCCTCAGAAATCTCTGGGGCCTTGGGTAGTAGATTGGTGTTCACCA